TTGCAAAGTGATACTTGACTCTTTTTTTTTTAGCTTAGTGAAAAAGAGACGTCGCATTTAGGTGTTCATATCTTCACACTGGGGTGTTTTATGTAAAATAAAAGGCTTTCAGCATCCAGTTCCTGCACAGACCTCAGTTTTGCATTTATTCACGATGGCCTAGAGCAGTGTTTCCCAAGCTGGTCCTAGGGGAACCCCAAACAGTCCACAATTTTGCTCCCTGCCAGACAACCCACATGTTTGCTCCCCCTCAATCATCTTGGGAGGAAGCACTATCCGGGGGTCCCCAAGGACCGGTTTGAGAAACACTGCCACAGAGGGTAATTTCCCTTCGGTTTGAACTACTTTTGCAGTGCTACTCCATGTCGCCCTCTAGTGGGAATATTTAAAAACATTAGATGTGACAGTGATAATCACTCTTATGCTTGTTTTTCCTGTAGAATGTCAAACAAGCGAACATTATTACAGAGAAAGGGGCTGTTATTGCTTTTAATTTAAGGAAATAGAGGAATACAGAAATAGAGTCTGTGTGTTTCATTGTGTGTTCGTATGACATTTGTGATGTCGTAATGTGTGAGTCTGTCATGTGTGAGTATGGGATGGAGAAAGAGCATTTCTCTATGTGGTATGGGATTAGATAGTGAGTGTGTGTGTGTGTGTGTGTGTGTGCACTTTTGTAGGAGGAAAGTATGACAGCCTGAGCAAACACTAAGAAGGGGTGACCTTTCTGTGGCGGTACAGCTTGTCACTGCTGCCACTCACACCCTTGCTGCTGGCCACAAGCCTCCCCCCCCCCCCCCCCCCCCCACCTTCTCCAGAAATGCAAATCTATCTACTCATCTCATTTTCTAATCCCTTCTTAAGGTGCCTTCTCTCTCACTGCAGCACCATTCAGATACGGTATATATTACTGATGCTGTTATCACTTCTGTCTGTCTGGTGCCTTGATTGGGACGCCGCTTCGATGTGTAAGGTTAAGCACCTCTCTCGAAGTAACAGCTGCCTTCACGCCGAGTGAGATCTTCCAGCCAGTGTGCAGATCCTTGGGTACATCACTCACTGGCCCGGCCCCTGCACCCTTAACAGAAGACAGGGCCCTGATGTCACTCTCATCCTCAGACTTTGACCGCGTAACATATGGATTCCGCAAGCGCCAGTGCGCAGACGACAGTGGGGTCAAAGGTTACCCTCACATGTTCCTGTTCACCCTGCCCACCCCCCTCACGTTATCTGTCTCCAGCAGTGTTAGGAATTTGCATAATTTTATGAAGCGCCCCTTCCCCCAGGAATCGTCGCCATCTGTGATGCAGGAGCCCCCAACGAGGGCCTGTAGCTGATGCGCTCGCCGAAAGTGTCACGACCGAGTTCAGCTGTCTACCCTCCTTCCCGATCAGTACCAGTCAGCTCTGCCCTTCCCTTCCCTGAACTCCCGTTCCCTCTGTTTTCGCCCGTCACCCTGACTCTCCCAATCTGAGAACCGCACTAGGGAGTGTGTGTCCTGATAAGGATGCGGGAACTCAAGCGCCTTACAGCGAACACATTTTTTATTATGTACCTGAGTGATGTTATTCAGGGAGTACCTGACTTTGCATTACATTACAGCATCACATTTGACTTTACAGTCTGCAACTTAACAAACCCTTCAGTCTATTTACAGCCCATATAACACAATGCGACACAGGCGGTTGGAGAGCCTGTTTTGGGGGGGGGGGGCTCAACCCCCCCGCCCTCCCCATTTTTGTTCCAGCTGCCCCAGAATAATATGTTTTTTCTAAAGCTATTTAGTGATTTGTCCCATATTCCCGTAACCCTCCACTCAGCAAACTTTACTGTGGGGAACCCTCCCCCCTGGAAAATTTATTTGTGTTGGGTTGTCAGAATAACAGACGGAACACAGGCTCGCTTGCCCGATGAGCATGAGAAGGGTCAGCCCATTCCCAACATCGTGAGCTTTCCTCCATGACTGCTGGCTAGAAACGCTTCGTATGGGGGGAGCGAGGCCCCCGCTGATGAACTGCGCTGTTTCTCCGCCAGCTGCGAGGCCTTATGGTCTGAGGCTGAACACCTCCCAGAGCAGGACGTGACACATCCGCAGAACATGCTCTCTATCTTTCATGAGTAACAGACAGGCCTAGTTCAGACAACGTTAGCAGAGATGGGATGTTTCTGGTCCATGCGAGGTCCTACCTACTGTCATCCCCAAGGTCGTTGGAAGAGAGGGACCTTGTTGTGGACCCTCTCCACAACACTCCCATCGGCGTTCTTGGGCATCACTCTACCTTGGCTGAGGCTGGCAACTTCCTCTTTGCTTCTCACCTCTTCTGCATGGCTGTTGCAGCTCAGGTCCTGCTGGGCTAAAATGAGTCTCTCCTTCCCAGTTTTGATGAGCCTTTTGTCCACCTATTAGACCAGTGCTTCCCAACCCGGTCCTCTGCGACCTACAGACGGTCCACATTTTTGCTTCCTCTTGGCTCCCTGCCAGACGGTCCACATTTTTGCTCCCTTTTAGCTTCGGGAGCTGGGAAGAAGCAAAAACGTGGACCGTCTGCAGATCCCCAAGGACTGGATTGGAAACACTTTGCTTATTAGACAGTCCATCACCCTGCAGGTAATTTTATCAATTATTTCCCCTTTTTCTTTATACTCGTCTACACACTCATGCACCTTTCTCGCTTCAATTTCTCCACACATTTACTTATTTTTAGGTGATTTTTAAAGCTTTTGCTTGTCTATTTACCCCTGCTTTAATCCATTATTACTTCAATCATTCTGAAGGCCTACATCTTGGTTATTCAAATCACGGTCCTCAAGGGCTGATTTTCCCGCCTTCCTTTACCTGTGAGCCGAGTATGAAGCCTCTGGCCAATCAGAATCAGTAATTATTAAACTGACTACCTGGAAGAACTGAAACCAAGGCCTGGATTTCAAATTGAGGACCAGATTTGAAGAACCCTGTTCTAGATGTACCAAAGGCATCTCTTTTATCAGCCAGAAGGTAATTAAGGCATAGTTTATGTTTGGGGGTTCAGACCCAATACTATACTGTGTTTTTTTATTTGCTTGCCTGGACAGGGTGCGGGTGCATGCAGCAATAGTAAAATACACCCCCGCATTCACTTAGGGAATACTCACACTTGGCCCGGCTGCATTGTACCGTACCGGAGTATGATTCGCCTGCTGGCCTGTGCTCACATTGTACGTAAAGATCCTGGTTGGAGCTTCTGTCATCACCGTGTTTTTCTGTTAAACAAAACATAGGAAATAAAACGCTATCGCGCAGCGCAATGGGGTTCGCGATTAACGTCTTAATTTTGTGCCTTTTTTGCAGTCGTTTTGGGCACGATGACACACAGATACATCATGTATGCAACGCAGTGATTTTTATTTATTCGTGCTGCTCCAGTAAGAAGACAGTCCCACATTTTACCAAATATCTCAGAGATTGTGCAGACTAGTGTTGCACTGGATACCGGTACTGAAAAAGTACCGCGGTACCGCATTTTTGAAAGCTGTTCGGTATTAAATTTCTTTAATACCGATACCAATTACACTATTACAGACATCTATAACGCTAACTATCGAATCAGAACCATTGACTCAATATGTCTGAACCATCATGCTATATGGAATACTAAAATATCAGCTATTTAAATATCTCCCAAGCTTCGAGTCAGTGATTTATGTGAGGGATCTTATAATACGGCATTATCCTAGCAAAGTCATCCTTTGCCATCCTGTTTGTGAAATGTTTGTCGCTACTCGAGTGTGTGCATTATTTTTTTCACAACGCACTACGCGGCCTGAACAGCCTTTGCAGGCTGTGTCCTTGGGATCTAATCCATTTCTGGGCTGCATATGAAGGAACCATCAAAATGGGACTCGCTGCTGTGACACATTCGGTCTTTGAAAACAGCATTTGAAGGATGCAGCTCCCGTAATTTGGTTCATGTATAGTGCACATGTGTGTCAGTCGCGTCATTGACGATCGTCTGTGTTCCGTACCTGGGCCCGGTTTGCGATCACACTAGGTGCCCAAATCCGACTAACTGTGCTGCGGCCCAACTCACCAAGCAGGCCAGCGCACTGGTACGGACTGACCGCAGTAGTGAAACGAATTGGAGTTTTGGGAGTCAAACGTGTTCGGGCACAGTACAGATCGATTAGTGCGAGTGCACCCTCAGACGGCGCTGTTGCCATCGTACTCAGGGTTTCGCTGTGTGACGGAGGAAAATACGTCGGCACTCACTATTCTTGTGGTTGTGACTTTCCTTTCTCGCTCAGTGCACTGCTGCTCTCTGCATCGCAGACCTCAGAGGTGCGACGTGGAGCAGTTTAGCGAGTTGATGAGGAAGTGGAAGAACACAGGCAGCAGACCCAGAGCGAGCTTCCACGACGCAGTGTGATCTTCCAAGCGGAGTGTCAGACACCTCTGAGCAATAGCTGGATGAGGGTCCCCCCCATTGGGGTCGCGTCTCGGTCAGTGGGTTATGACACAAGGCCAGTGATCAGACATTCACCTGTTCAAATCCCAGCTTTAGCAATAAGTCGTCTTGTTGATATTCTTTTCTCTGCACATCTGGCATTGCAATCCAAAAGTAACAGGAAGAAATCAGATTATGTTTCTTAAATATTGTGATTCTTTGATTGGGTGACTGACTATGTTTCTTGCCAAGTTTTTGGTAATTACATTTCTAAAGTAACCCTTCAAGCCCCGGTGCTCACACCCACAACTGAGCCGGCAGGCTGTAGGGCCGATGCCCCCAGGTCGTGCAGGCCGGCATGCGGAGGCAGCACCGTGGGTCAGTTCCACGCCGGGAAGCCCGGCTTTGGCCGCGCGCTCCTCCATCATCATGCCTCTCCAGCTCGCAGAGAGCAACGCTCACGGGGTTTTTTTTTTTTTTGGCATTTCCGTTCCACTCACCGCTGCTAACACCCATGAGTCTAACCGCTCAAGAGAGGGGCCATGGAAAGCATGAGATCATTTACGGGGTCCTAAATGATCAGGTGTCTGACCTGCAAGAAAGGGAGTGGGCATGGATTAATGAGTAAACTGCAAATAGACGTCAGAACAAAGGATCTGAGAAGTACCGTTCTATTTATATGACAATGAATCTGTCCCTTCATCAGAATTGATTTCTGCCATTGACTATTTCATTATCTATTTACTTAGCATCACAGTGTTCTTTGCAAATTTATCTATGTATATATTTACATAATGATACAGAAACCACATTCACAAATTTGACATTCGTGGTTTCGGTTTTTCATGAGTTAGCCATTGAACAATTAAACGTGAATATTTTTGAAGCTTGCAGAAAGTCGCAGAGCAAAGGTGAAAGAATTAATGAAATCTTGAATCACATAAAATCATGTAATATCTAAACATTAGGCATAAAATTTTTGGTTTACTGTATCCTGAATATTAAACACCCTGATTTGGGTACGCCGTGTATCTTTGTCTCGATTACCAGCTGCATTCGTGTGTTCGCTGTCGTTGTGACAATGGAATCTCGCTTTTCTCACAGTAACTTTCAAACTTTTCAGTGCCGTTAATTTTAGCATTTTTAATATTGGGTCCGAAACGTAGTGCTCCCAGTTTGTACATACGGGGGCATAATTTACATGGTTTGTATATTAAATAAAAAGGTCTAAATGGGAAATGACAAAGTAGTTTGACACGAAAAGTGTGCAGTACAGTACAGTACAGTACTAGCAGACTGTTATGGGTTGAGATTAGGGAGCCCAAGTATCATCTGTGAACTTTCACATTGGCCGGGATCTTCTGCGCTTAACCTCCGTGAATGTGAAAGGGGGGGGGGTTACTGTAATTATCAGGACCAAGCCCAGGCTGGCTTTTCCAACTTTTCTGGATCCTTTAAAATTGTGCCTAATCCATCAGTTTTCCTGAATCACCCGTCCAGAGCAGGTTCATGGAAGCCTGGAGTCCATCCCCAGGAACATGCCCGTCCATCGCACGGCACACGCTCACACTCATGTACACTATAGGAAATGTACTGATGAATCACCTAACCACAGGTTTTGGGACTGTGGGAGGACACCCCCCCTAAAATGAGTAGAATATATAACCACCAGATGTATGGGGGCAGGAAGCAAACCCACAGCCCTGGAGGCGTGCAGCCACAGAGCTACCCAACACAACACGGCCCCTCCCCGAAACAGGACTGAGTACATCATACGGTCTCAGTCATACGCAGTACCCAGGCGCGTCCCCCCAAGGGTCAGCCACACAATCATTTAGGGGGTCAGCCACACAATCATTTAGGGGGTCAGCCACACAATCATTTAGGGAGTCAAGATCTGAGGTTTTATGCATCAGTCTGCTTCATGTTTTTTGACTTCATTGAGGTGTCAAGTTGAATGAAGCATCACTTTGTTGTACTTTACTGTATAAATTATTTAATTGGAATTTAGTACATTAATACCATAAAAGTACCATTGCTATCTATTTCCATTCATTAGCAAACAAAAATTGATTACAAAAAAGCCCCCCAAAACAACAATTTGGTATTTTTGGTGTGCTTGTTTAAATTTGTTTACATTCATTTATTTAGCATTGCACTTGTTCAAAGCAACATACAATGAGTTAAGTCTCTTCTGGAATAAGCAAACAAGGAATTAATTAAAGAAGTCTGAAGTTTTAAGTTGCACATGAGAAAAGCTACATTTAGTAGTGATTTTTCATCTTTCAGTTTTGCAGTTTGATTGAGGGATTTGCTCGGATACCTGCCAACATTTTCTTGTTTCTATTGTTTGCGGGATTTTCATTGGGAAGAGGTGTGTCTTCT